GAAGAGGAGGAGAAAGAGATGGAGGAGGAGGAGGAGGAGGAGGAGGAGGAGGAGGAGGAGGAGGAGGAGGAGGAGGAGGAGACGACGGCTGGTTGGAGTCACCGAAGCAGCTGGCATGAGCTTCAATGGATCCAGAAGATGGTAGAGGAGAGGAAGGCCTGGAGGAATGTTGTCCATGGGGTCGCAATGGGTCGGACACGACTTCACAACTAACAACAACAAAAATCTAGAGAAAAGACGGACTAGGAGGGACATGATGGCAGGATTCCAGTATTTGAGAGGTTGCCACAAAGAAGAAAGGGGGTCAACCTATTTTCCAAAGAACCAGAAGTAACGAGACTAATCCAGGAGAGAAGCAACCTGGAATTAAGGAGAAACTCCCTAACAGTGAGGACAATTAACCAGTGGAACTGCTTGCCTCCAGAAATCATGGGCACTGCACCCCTGGAGTTTTTTTAAGAAGAGACTGGACAGTCACTTGTCTGAAATGATATAGGATCTCCTGCTTGATCAGTGGGCTGGTCTAGAAGACCTCCAAGGTCCCTTCCAGCTCTGTTCTGATTCTCATGAATTGTGAATTGGTATTATCGTTGAGAAGGTTTTATTATTATTTTTGTAATATGGAAATACACATTTTTGGCTCATAAAGTATCAAAAAATATAATCAAAGTGTATTGTTAACCCTTGGACATCCTGTCAGGTCATAAATATAATTTAGGAGAAAACCAAGAGAGGAAAAAAACCCAAGAAAGTCCAGTTGCCTTTTGGAAAAGCACCTGGGTGATTTTTGAATTTCCATAGATATTTATGACTTAAGGACTTCAATTCCCAGAATCCCTGAGGCATGTGGCTCAGGAATTCTGGGAGTTGAAGTCCACAGGTGCTAAAGGAGTCATAGTTGCCCTTGCCTGATCTATACAGCTTTCTGTGTCTTTCTTGCTCCCATCTTTCCAGCAATATGAAATCCTGCTAAATTTCTTTCTCACCAGGATTTCCTGGGACTTTACATGGAATCCAGGATCTCTAAGCCCTCTTCTCTGAATTGGTTCCGCTTTTGCTGTAGTTCTCCAGAGTTGCCAGAGCCTGCAGCTCTCCCATCTTACATCTTATGGAATGGTCTAAGTTCACAGTATACTTCAGGAATTTCTTCCCTTCTTGTACAGTGAAAGGAAAATCATTGGACAAGAATCTCTCAAAAAGTTTTGGGTCGCCATCCAATGCCATGATGTTCCAGAGTTCCTTATGCTTGGAGTAAAGCTCAGGACACGTCTCCTTGAAGACGTCCCACATCAACATCTTCTCATCATCTTTGGGTGGTTGGCTCGGCGGCTTCTCTTCTTCCATGCACTGGAGAATCCAACTCAAGCGACACGGCCACTGGTTGGCCAACACCACCCAACGGGCCACTTCCTCGGGACAGAAGTTGCGCCTCAGCGCAGGACGTTGTATCATCAACCTGATGGTAATGGGGATGGTGTTGAAGATCCTCCTCATCTGGATAACGTTATCTGGGATATAACGGTAGAAACAATCCTGTTCGTTTTTCAAGTATTGGAAAGCTTTAGAGATGTACTCGGATGCCATCTTATCAATCTGGGTTTGGTCCATTTCGAGCGATGCTTCCATGCCCACCCCTTCTGCGTCGGACATCCTGTTCAAGTCCATTTTCTTTCTGCTGATGACATCTATTAGAGCTTTGTTATCCTGGAAGGCCTCGTGCAAACAACGCTTCTTGGACTTGATGGCAATTTCCGGGATGGAGAATGGAAGCATCACAGTGCGGTTGAGGTACAGGTAGCCGTTGTCCGTCATTCCCTTCTGGGTGCCAGCCTGCTCCAAGCAAGAAACGATGACGGAGGGATCAACCACCAGGATGAAGATGAAACGGGCATCCCCATTGGAGAGGAGCGTGTTGATGGCGTTCAACACCCCAGCCACCTGTTCAGGCTGGCATATATCTAAACTCGTAATCTTAAAGACAATCCTCAAACGCCGACGCTCAAAGATCTCCATGTAGTTGATAAAGCCAGTGATGACCTCAATCTCACTCTTGACTGCAGTCCTGAAACCCAGATGTTTGGTGAACTTCTCATTGCTGGTCATACTCTCAATCTTCTTCTTCTGGCTGATGATCAAGTGCTTAATCATAGGACTGACGACAATGACCAATCCTGAGCCCAAAATGGCAGCAAAGGTGCCACCAAGGTACTTCAAGAGTGTGCCATCCCTTATCCCTGGCACGAGGAAGGCAGTAGTAGCCAGGCCTGCACCAACTAGCAAGACAATCACCACAAGTCCTCCTGTGATACAGCATGTTTTTCTTTTGACCCTCCACTTTTCTTTGGCGCATTCTGAGACGAATTCTGGATGGCTTCCTACCACCTGGTAGAAACTCAGCAAAAAAGGACCAAAGTGCTGGCGGATACAGTCACACAGGCTGGTGACCAACCCAGCCCACAACTGGTTGCTGCAGGCATATTCCCAGGCGCTGAATTTTATGAAGAGGAACTTGATGGTTTCTCTTTGGAGGTGCCTTCTGCTGGTGACCGGTTGGCAGAAGACGATGTACCACAGGAGAGTCAGGTAGCTCCTCCCTTGTGGGCGTCGGGACTTCTGGCTTTCTTCCTTTGGGATGGATTCTTTGAGCATGGATCCTGCAATAGTTCATTCAGAAGTGGTCAACTGAAGCTCTGCCAAGTTCTCAAAGACCTTCTCTCTATAGAAGGGAATATTTGTAGCTCAGGGTTGAAATGTGGGGGTCCTTGGTGCTCTCTGAGATTGGTGGTCTTCTTGCAAATGTTTCATAAGCCAATTAAGTAACATTATCAGATGATGTTACCTGGGTAATAAAACATCTGAACCCGCCCCCCCCACAAGCTCAAAGAGCACTAAGGACAACATGGTTGTTGTCATTCTCCTCCTCCTCCTCCTCCTCCTCCTCCTCCTCCTCCTCCTCCTCCTCCTCCTCCTCCTCCTCCTCCTCCTCCTCCATCTCTTTCTCCTCCTCTTCCTCCCCTCCTCTTCCTCTTTCTCCTTTCCCTCTCCTCCTCCTCCCCCTCCTCCCCCCCGCTATAAACCCCATTCCCTTCTAGCACTGATGATGTTTCCTTGTGATGCCAATCATGCAAGTTTTGTGATGGCACAATGGCTCCTGAAAGGTCCCTTTCTCTCTCCCCAGATGGAAGGGGGGGACCCTTCTAATTAACTAAGGGGTCTACATAGATGGATTCCCCACTGATTCTCTCAGTGTGGGGCTGACCTGCAATCTGGTCCATTAGGAAGTGAACACGTGCTCTGTGTGGCGAGTAGAAACCCACGGTGACTGGGGTGGAGATATGACACAACGTCTTCAGTAAACAGGAGCAATAAATCTCATCATCGGACAGGAGATCTGAGGAGTGGGGAAGGGGGAAGGAAAATAACCAGTGTCCCTCAGTTAGTACAGCACTGAAAAAAGTGACTTATGACCGGTTCCTGCTCTTTATGACCATCATAGCATCCCCATGATTATGGGATCAAAATTCAGGCACTTGTCAAAAGGCGTGCCTTTATGAATGTGTTGTGAGATCACCATTTGCGACCTTGCTAGCCAACTTCCAGCAAACATAGGCAGGGGGGGGGGGGGGGGGGGGGCAGATTCACTTAACAACTGCATGATTCACTTAATAGCTGCAACAGTTTGCTTAAAAACCACAGCAAAAAAACAAACAAACCACCACTAGGTAGAAGGTAGAATTCACTTCATTGCCCTGTGTAATAATGGGAATTCTGGTCCCAATGATGTGGTTGTAAGTTGAGGTCTACCTGTCATCTCTTCTTGGCTAAAGTAGTCTTTTTTAACCTGAGCAAATAGACGGAGCGTTTAAGAGTTGTTTCAGATGGATGGCCTTCCATTCCCAGCATGGGGAATTCTGGGAGTTGAAGTCCACAAGTTGCCAAGACTTAGGCTAAAGCAGAGGTCTCCAAACTTGGCAACTTTTAAGAGTTGTGGACTTCAGCTCCCAGAATTCCTCAGCCAACCTTGGCAACTGTAAGACTTGTAGATTTCAACTCCCAGAATTCTGGGAGTTGAAGTCCACAAGTCTTAAAGTTGCCAAGTTTGGGGATCCCTGGCCTAAAGCATCACTGTGGAAAAACCATCCCTGGCAGGCCTTTTGTTCCCCAAAGATCTGCCAAGTGGGGGGGGGGAATCATTTGAGAGTAATTAGGATAATTATCTTGTGATACTCATCCTATTGTAAACGCCTCAGAGTAGAGATGAGTTTTCTTCAAGTATTTTTTTCCCCTCAAGTGTTTTTTCTCCTTTCCGGAAGGAGCTGAGTGTTAAACATCCAACTATTTTTTTAATTATCAGATTGATTTGCCTTCCATCTTGCAGTTCAAGATGACACTGGGCAGCTTGCCACAAGATAAAACATGCAAACGTTCAACAATTATAACTATAAAAAAGGATTAAAATGGTTTTTTTTCCCCCCCTCCTGCCAAGAAAATCAAATGTGTGTCATCTTAAAGAATACGACTCCAAAAATGACAGGGAATTGTTAAGGAAACCAAATTGACCACATTTCTAACTGTCCAGAGCTGCACGCGGCTGCAGACTGAAAATTTAGCTATTGCAATAACCTAAAGTTATTTGCAAAGCGTTATTTAACAATTAGACAATAAGGGAGGGGGGCCCTGATTATTCAGCCCTAATTTGATGCATTCTGAAAGAAACATGTCAGGGAAGAAAACATAGCAATTTAAGTGTCATTAAATGGGTTGCTTGCAAAGCAAGTAAGGGAAGACATAATTAAAAAAAAGGAAAGAAGGCATTTAAGACATTATGCTAATGAAGAAAACAACTTCTGTTAATCCTGTTTGGAAAACATACGTTAATTACTCTCTACCTACAGGAACTGTTGCAACTGTTAGAACCATTGCCTAACCTTCCTTTCAGATTAAAAGAATTCTCAAGAAAGGTTTCGGTAACCGTTCTAATGTTTGCAACAAACCAACCCAAAGTCAGTATCAAAGGGCTGATAAAGCTACTGGCCAGGTAGTCCTTGAGTTACAATCATTCATTTAGTGACGGTTTTTAACAGCAGAACTAGAAAGCTGACTTACAATCAGTCCTTGTACTCACAACCGTTGCAAGATCCCATGTTACATGATCAAAATTCAAATGCTTGGCAACTGGCATGGGTTTACGACAGTTGCAACCTCCCGAGGTTATGAGATGATCATTTGCAACCTGGGTCTATGGGTGTGCTTTTTTGACAGCCCCTTCAGTTAAATTTTAATCCACAGGTAATCTTGGACTTATCTCATTTATAGATAAAAGGTAAAGGTTCCCCTCACGCATACGTGCTAGTTGTTTCTGGCTCTAGGGAGTGGTGCTCATCTCTGTTGCAAAGCTGAAGAGCCAGTGCTGTCCAAAGATGTCTCCGTGGTCATGTGGCCGGCATGACTAAACGCCTTCGAAGGAGCATGGGACCCTTTTACCTTCCCACCAAAGTGGTTCCTATTTTTCTACTTGCATTTTAATTACATGCTTTCGAACTGCTAGGTTGGCAGAAGCTGGCACAAGTAACGGGAGCTCACTCCATTACGCGGTGCTAGGGATTCGAACCACCAAACTGCCGACCTTTCTGATCGACAAGCTCAGAATCCAAGCCAGTGAGCTAACATGTCCCCTAAATCCCATCTTTACTGGGATCTAAATTTCTGTTGCTAAGCAATGCAGTTGTCAAATCAGCCGCGCCTGATTTCATGATCTTTTTGAGCCCTGGTTGTTAAATCGCCGCAGACGTTGAGCAAATCACACGGTCATTAAGTGAATCCAGCTGCCCCTCCCCCACACACTGACTTTGCTTATATGGGCTGGGAAGGTTGCAAATGATGATCACATGACCCCCGGCACGTCACAACCACCGGAAATATATGCTGGTTGCTGAGCACCCAAATTTTGATGAGGTCACTATGAAAATACTGTGACCGTTGTAAGTGTGAGGACCAGTCCTCGATCAACTTTTTAGAACTTTGAACGGTTGCTAAATGAACGACTGTAAGTTGAGGAATATCTGTACTAAGTTAGATTTTTTTGGGGGGGGGGAAGAAGTGGCTGAAATTGTTGCTCCCTTCCGTTTATCCAAATCCAGCAGTTCTGAATTAGATGCTGAGTTTACCATCATCTACATCTTCATCTTGAGCATCGTGGTTTGAGGACAGACTCCCCGATGTTTGGGACTCCTCTATATTAGACAGCCCAGCAACTTCCTCATCATAGTTACTCATCAGTTCTGGAGTTGTGGGCTATCAACCAGACTTCCCAGGAAGATTGGAGGCTGCTAGAAGGAGATAAAGCAGACAGGTGATTCAACCTGGTTACCTGGGACAGGTAAGCTTCTAATGAGAATGGATAAAGAAAATACATACATCGAGCCATGCCTGGGAAGAATGCATTTTGCAGCAGCGGGGTTTTTCTCTCTGACTTTTTCTTATTTCCAGGCTTTAGGTTAGAAAAACTGGGTCTATTGAGTGAAAAAAGAGACAGACAGACAGAAAAAAAGAAAGAAAGAAAGAAAGAAGAGAAGGAGAGAGAAAGAAAGAAGAGAGAAAGAAAGGAGAAAGAAAAGAGAGAAAGGAAAGAAAAGAAAGAGAAAAAGAAAGAAGATAAAGAAAGAAGACAGAGAAAGAGAAAGAAAGGAGAGAAAGGGAAACAGAAAGAAAGAAAGAAAGAAAGAAAGAAAGAAAGAAAGAAAGGAATGAAAAAGAAAGGAGAAAGAAAGAAGAAAGAGAAAGAAAGGAGAAAGAAAGAAGAAAGAGAAAAAGAAAGAAAAAAGAGAAAGAAAGAAAGAAAGAAAGAAAGAAAGAAAGAAAGAAAGAAAGAAAGAAAGAAAGAAAGAAAGAAAGAAAGGTGTAATTTTGGTTTCTGAAGCTCCAAATTCCACTGACCTTAACAGCTGGCTCCAAGTTCTCCAAGTTGGAAAAAAAAGACCAACGAAAATAAAAACCCAAAGATTTAGCGAATCAAAAACTCATTTGCTTCTGATAGATTGCAAATTAGGATGACACAATATTTCAGTCACTGTGTTGAGAATGAGGATGGGCTTTAGAAGGCATGGGATGCTGGGGGTGTGGCCTGGACATTGAAGCATGGCAAATGAGCTCCAAATTCTGACGACGTTTCAACACAAAGGAAAATTCCTCCCCCTCGCTTTTCTGTTCTTAAGTGGCATTCTCTTAAGTGACAGAAAAAATTGACTTACGCCAGGAGTCCTTGAGTTACAACCAAAATGGGAATCAGCATTATCAACGGAGGTTAATAATAGCAATAGCTCTTAGACTTGTTTACCGCTTCATAGGGCTTTTAAGCAGTTTACAGAGTCAGCCTCTTGCCCCAACAATCTGGGTCTTCATTTGACCGACCTCAGAAGGACGGAAGGCTGAGTCAACCTTGCACTGGTCAGGATCGAACTTCTGGCAGTCGGCAGAGTTAGTCTGCAATGATGCAATCCTAACCACTGCGCACCATGGAAGGAAGGGAGGGATAAATCATTGTTGGTATTTAACAATGGTTAAATATCATTGGTATTTAACAATAGACCCTCAGTGGCGCAGTGGTTACAGTGCAGTACTGCAGCCTACTTTTGCTGACTATCAGCTGACTATCGGCTGTTTGGCAGGTCAAATCCCACCAGGCTCAAGATTGATTCAGCCTTCCGTCCTTCTGATGTGGATAAAACGAGGACCCAGATTGCTGGGGACAAGAGGCTGACTCTGTAAACTGCTTAGAGAGGGCTGTAAAGCACTATAAAGCGGTATATAAGTCTAAATACTATTGCTATCTTATAGAATTTTTCTTTTAAGTTATAATTTAATGTAAGTTAAATTATAACTTAAAGTTGAGGGTAGAGCTAATGCCTTATTTTACTGCACCAAAAGAGTCGGAAGTCAATGCCTTTTGTTTTCTTCTTCCCTTGCTTTCCCTCACTATCCATTTCCCTTTTTCCTTTTCTAATTTCCCTAATATTTGTTTTTGTATGTCATATTATAAATTAATAAAACTATTTTTTAAAAGAAAGTCTAAAAGCTATTGCTATCTGTAAAGTGGCCAAGGTTGGACACCCCTGTTGCAAAGACTGTTCAGAGGGCGTTTTCTCAGGGAAGTGTCAGGATTCCAGCAATCACCCTAATTAAATCATGAGCCTAGAGCCAAACTTCAAAAAACTTTAAAAGATTTATTAGGAGTGACATGCTGGCATGACCTGTATGAAGCCGGTTCTGATACGTAATTTACAATCACCTATGATCCTGTTTTCCCCCACCCCTCTGGGTGTATCATAATTCAGATTGTCCAAGGAAAGCTGAGTGTCATCAATCACATTCTCCAATAGAGACTAGCACTGATGATGTTACCTAGTTTGGGTAATGAAACATCTACAAGAAAACAACCAAACTCAGAGAGCACCAAGGACCAGGGATGGGATTCTCCCAGTTAGGCCTAGTTCGGGCAAACCTCTAGCTCCGACGATCAGCTGTTGAGTGAACTAGTTCTTTCTGACAATCAGGTCGGCCTGCCCGCCCATGTGCTGTACTTACCTATATCCTCTCAGCTGATTCGTGCATCTCAGCTGAGTTACTCCCCAGAAGTAACATAGAAGGTAAGTAACTTTGAAAGCTGTGCACGCGAGATCACTGAATCCCACCCCTGCCAAGGACCCCTTGTGTTCAATGCCCTCTTCAATCTTGGTGGCCACTTGAAACGTCCTGGAAAATCTGTGGAAAAAACCCTTTTCAATGCGAGGCTTTAGTAAGTTAAACAAAAACCTGGTTTGTTGAGCCAGCTATAAACCCAAATCACACGGTGCAAAGCCATGGTTTGCTCAGCTGGGGTTTACATTAACAAACCATAATGGTTGGTTCACCGAACGAAAAAACCTGAAACCAACTACTTTTATTTCTTCGTCCGAGGTGTTGAGCCAGTCTACACCAATGGATCCTGATAGCCTCATGCTCAGCATGGGCACCAGAGGAAAAATTCTTTGGTGCACCACTGGGTGGTGTGGTTTCCTTTCTGTACAAGCAAAGATTTACAGTAGTACCTCGATACTCATAGTTAATCGGTTCCTGGAGGCATGAGGAGTACCAAAAATGATGAGTACCATATACATTTCTCCCAAAAGGAATAATGTAGTGCAAGGATATCAAACCTGGTTTCATTAAGGGCTGCATCAGGGTTGTGTTTGACAGGAGTGGGCCTGGCTAGCTCAATGTCCTACAGCCCAGTGAAAACAGATCCCAGGAGGGTCGCATGTAAATGTACCCCAGCTTCTATAATTTGGTGTCTTCCACATCTATGAAAAGTACTTATAATATCTCTTAGTTACACACACACACACACACACACACACACACACACACACACAGGATCACCTCCCAATTTAAAAACCGAGAATTCTCCAAGAAAACACAACTTCTGCAGCCGATGTAAATCATTGTTTATTATGTAGCTGATGGATAAGCCTGAGTTCTCCCAATGCTCAGGTGAAAGAGGGGGCTGGCTGGCTCCCCATTTCACACACCCCACAACAACCACCTTGTGAGGTTGGTTTGAGTTGAGTCCTTCCCCAGTCCTGATCCACAAAACTCGATCAATTGTGAAATAGTATTTTTTTTTTAGTTTGTTTGTTCAGCAGCTTTTGTCGTATTGCAATCTCGCGATGCGTACTTTTTTGGGCTTGTAAAATATCAAAAATATAATCAAAATACATTTTTTAAAAAACCCTTGGAGATCCTGTCGGGTCATAAATATAATACTTAATCTGAGAGCAGCGTGTACAGCTAATCCTTGACTTACTACGTCTACAGTCGGGACTAGAATTTCCATTATTATTAAGCACGGCAGCTTTTTAGGTGAGTCGCGCTCCGTTTTCTAATTTTTTTTTTCTGCCACGAATTATGAAACAAATCACTTAAGTGAACTAATTAAGTGAGTCGTGTGGCGATTAAGGGGATCCAGCTTTATCCATTGACTTGTCAAAAGCTGCAAAGGTTGCCAACAGCCACCAGGTGACACCAGAGCGATGCAGATAAATACGTGCCAATTGCCAACCGGCTGAATTTTGATCACATGCCACAATCATAAATGCAAGGACAAGGTTCAGGGGTAAGATTCAATTTTTTTTTACTACCGGTTCTGTGGGTGTGGCTTCGTGGCCGTGGAAAGGGAAGGATACTGCAAAATCCCCATTCCCTCCCCACCCCACTAACCTGCTTTCCAGCTCCATTCTCCTCTGCAGGGCAACCAAAGAAGAACCAGCCAATCAGCAGAGAATAGATGTGGGGTGGGGCCAGTCAGAGGTGGGATTTGCTGGTTCTTCAAACTACTCAAAATTTCTGCTACTTGTTCTCCAGAACTGGTCAGAACCGGCTGAATCCCACCTCTGATAGGGTTGTAAATTTTCGGTGCTGTTGTAACTTCAAAGGGTGTTTAAAGAAATGGTTGTAAGTCAAGGACTGTCTATACTAGGGGTGGCCAACAATGGTCCCTTTTATACCCCGAAGGTGCTTTTCCAAAAGGCAACTGGATTTTTGTGGGTTTTTCTTTCCTTTGAAAACTTTTCATTTCTCATCCAAGGAGCTCCTTCAGTTCTTAAGGTAGAACTGAAGAAGCTTCTTGCATGAGAAGCGAAACCTTTCAAAGAAAAAAATAAACCCAAGAAAGTCCAGTTGCCTTTTTGGAAAAGACACCTTCAATCTGGATGAAGGTGGCTCAAGAATTCTGGAAGTTGAAGTCCACAGGAGGTAGAGTCCACATTTGCCACTCTTGGTCTCTACACCTTTCTGTCTTTCTTGCTCTCATCTTCCCAGCTAAACTGCTTTCACCCCAGCGTCCATGTTGTCTAAGGTTTCTTCTCTGAACTTGTTCCACCTTTTCTGTAGTTCTCCAGAGTCGCCAGAGCCTGCAGCTCTCCCATTTTATATCTTATGGAATGGTCTAAGTTCACAGTATATTTCAGCAATTTCTTCCCTTCTTGTACGGTGAAGGGGAAATCATTGGACAAGAATCTCTGAAACAGTTCAGGGTCGCCATCCAATGCCATGATGTTCTGGAGTTCCTTATGCTTGGAGTAAAGCTCAGGACACGTTTCTACAAAGACGTCCCACATCAACGTCTTCTCATAATCGTTGGGTGGTTGGCACTGCAGCTTGTCTTCCATGCATTGGAGAATCCAACTCAAGCGACACGGCCACTGGTTGGCCAACACTACCCAACTGGCCACTTCCCGGGGACAAAGGTTGTGCCTCAACAGGTGCTGTTGTGTCATCAACCTGATTGTGATGGGTATGGTGTTGACAATTCTCCTCATCTGGATAATGCTATCTGGGACATAATGGTAGAGACAATCTTGTTCACTGTGCAAGTAGTGAAAAGCTTCATGGATATATTGGACGGCCATAGCATCGATCTCGTGTTGGTCTTCTTGAACCACTGCTTCCATGTTCATTAGTGCTCCACCGTTCCCTTTGGACATGGTCACTCCCAACTCCATGTTCCTTGTGATGATACCGTACATCAGGTCTTCCCGAGTCTGGAAGGCCTCGTGTAAACAACGCATCTTGGACTTGATGCCGATTTCCGGGATGGAGAAGGGAAGCGTCACAGTGCGGTTGAGGTACAGGTAGCCGTTGTCCGCCATTCCCTTCATGGTGCTAGCCTGCTCCAAGCAAGAAACGATGACGGAGGGATCAACCACCAGGATGAAGATGAAGGGGGCATTCCTATCGGAGAGGAGCGTGTTGATGGCGTTCAACACCCCAACCACCCGTTCTGGGTAGCACGTATCCAAACATGTGATCTCAAAGACAATCCTCAAGCGCCGACGCTCAAAGATCTCCATGTAGTAGATGAAGCTGGTGAGGACCTCAATCTCGCTCTTGACTGCACTCATGAAACCCAGGTGGCTGGTGAACTTCTCATCACTGGTCATGCTCTCGATTTTCTTCTTCTGGCTGATGAGCAAGTGCTTAATCACAGGAGTGATGGCGATGATCAGTCCTGAGCCCGAAATGGCAGCAAAGGTGCTACCAAGGTACTTCAAGACGGTGCCATCCCTTATCCCTGGGACGAGGAGGGCGGTAGTAGCCAGGCCTGCGCCAGCTAGCAAAATCACAACAAGGCCTCCTGCGGTGCAACACGTTTTCCTTTTCAGCCTCCACTCTTCCTGGGTGAATCCCGAGGCGAATTGCGGGCGGCTGCCCACCACGTGGTAGAAACTCAGGGGAAGGGGTCCGAAGTGGTGGCGAATATGGTCACACAGGGTGGTGACCAACCCAGCCCATAATTTGTCGCTGCCTGCGTATTCCCAGGCGCTGAATCTTATGAAGAGGAACTCGATGGTTTTCCTTCGGAGGTGCACCTCGGTGATGACCGGTTGGTAGAAGACAATGTACCAGAGGAGGGTCAGGTAGTTTATTCCTTCGGGGACGCGGGGCCTCTGGTGAGTCCTGTTGAATTCGGCTTCTTCCCTTCGGATGGATTCTCTGAGCATGCATCCTGCAATAGTTCATACAGAAATGGTCAACTGAAGCTCTGGCAAGTTCTCAAAGACCTTCTCTCTATAGAAGGGAATATTTGTAGCTCAGGGTTGAAATGTGAGGTCCTTGGTGCTCTCTGAGCTCGGTGGTTTTCTTGCAAATGTTTCATAACCCAATTAAGTAACATCATCAGATAATGTATCTAGTTGGGTCATGGAACATCTGCAGGAAAACCACTAAGCTCAGAGATCAGCAAAGACTCCACAGCCCTCCTCCTCCTCCTCCTCCTCTGTCTCCTCCTTTTTTGCCATCTCCTTCTCTTCCTTCTCCTCCTTTCTCCTCCTCCCTTGTCCTCCTTCTCCTCCTCTGTCTCCTTCTCCTTTTTC